CAGGAAGACACATTTTGTGAAAAGTTAATAATCTAATTGACACATATCATTTCTTACACAAAAGTTTTTCTGAATTTTGATCATTTAACAACGAAGCACATTACAGGGTACAATTACACAACAGGATACAATTACATAATAGGATACAATTACATTACAGGATTACTAGAAAAAATATTTTGTTAACACCATTTGTTCAGATGTATTTATAGAGACTTTATGTGATTTTATTTGATGACCAAATAAATGTCAACATTGAATATTCTAATATAGAATAATCCATATGGTAGAGCTAGGAGAGGCAAAATTTTAGCACCGTTGAATTTGGAAGCTAAATTTCTGGGTTGTTTTTTAAAGCAAAATAATAATTAACAAGTAATTAAGAATATTAAAGAGTAATTAGAATGAAAATTATCTAGTTTAAAATAAAAATATAATATGAATTTAGAATAATGAAATAATAGAACATAGAGATATAATTATGTAAAACAAAATACCATTTTAGTTAAGGCACTTATGAAATAAATCACATATATGGTGATAGATATTTTAATAATTTTGTCTTTTATTTAAATATAAAAAAGAAATATTGTTTTTCAACAATAAATCTAAAAATTAGTTATGCTTACATAAAATGACAGCACTAAAATTCGTTAAAAAAGCAATATTTTTTAAAAAATGTCAAAAAAAGGAACAATTTAGGTATGTGTGTAATTTTAAGATTTTTGAAAGTGATATACAATGTATTAAACACTAAGGATTTGGATTGGGTTAAATAATTCTAAAAATTTATGAAATACACTTATTTCAAATTACAGGAAGAGTATTACTTTTTCTAAATTTATCACAGGCTTCATTAGTTTACTTAATGATGGTTTCGCTAAAACTATCGTCAAAACAAAAGGTAGTAACAAAAGGTAGTCAATAAATTAAGGACTAAAAAAATAAATAATTACAAATTAATAAATTAGAAAATAAACTGACAATTTAGGGTATAATAGATTAATACTAACAGAGAATTACAAGTATTCAGTAAAACAGAATAAATTAAACAAAACAGCAGAAAAAATAATTTGAAAGAAAAAAAAGATACAGAAAGTAGAATTTTTTTACAAAAAATCACTTAATCACTCAATCAAAACTTTAATAATGTTAAAGCTACTAATAGATTTAAATCAGAATTCATCATTGAATGATATACATATTATTAATAAACCAACAACAACCAATGAATAAAAGAAGACGATAAATATAAAGATTCTCTGAAAAATTGCATACCCGCAATAACAAAATAAAACAAAAAAAAATTAACAAGAACGAATAAAAAAAATATCGTGAGCGTAAATAACAGTTTATAATAAGATTGATCTAAATTTAATAATAAAATCACGCTCCTCATATAAAAAATTTCATCATGAGTATAAATGAGATGCAGTCATAGCAAATATTAAAGCGTCCATCTTATACATCTAATATGTATATTGTTTACATTCTACAAAATAAAAGATAAATTCAAGCACCCAATGACACTCACTTTCAAAATTTAAATCAAAATTTTCCTTTAACGGTAAGGTATTATGGCACCAATAAATGATATTTACTCATACACTTTATGATAAAAAGATAAAAGCATGTTTAGAACAAAAGGAAAAAATTTACTCTTAGTTAATTAAAAAATATATAATATAATTAAATATAATATAATAAATATTATATTTAAAATATGGAATGTCACAGTTCAGTTATATAGTTTAATTTTAAGTGAAAAATATTTTACTATTGTTGAAATTTCTTTTTAAATGCAATTAATAAATAAAATAAATAAATAATAAAAAAGACAAGTTTATTTAGCAAATATATTACTATAATTTTAATTTTAAATATAAAATAAATATTTTGCTCGCTGCAATTTACTTGTGAATCTAAATATGGAATTAACATTAAAATGAATTTCTAAACTAAAGAGACGACTTTGTGACTCAATTACCAGCCTTTCAAATGAATTTACAAATAATATATTATTTTCAAAAAATAAAATGAATTGAAATTTTAAGTGAGAAAATTGCATTGTTATCATTATGTTATTTATTTAATGACATAAATTCAATAAACTGATTAACAAGATTGCATTAAAATATTGTTATGAAAAATGGCACAAAAAATACAATGAAAAATAATCAAAATTCTACAGTAATGGCACACTTGCATTTTTTTTAAAAACTGCAAAAACTTGTTATAAAGATTTGCAAATTTATTAAATGAGATTAGAAATTCTATTTTTTACAATGGAAGTCAAAATATATTTTTGCGTAATTGATTTAGAGACAAAAACTGCATAAATTATTTATATATACAGTTAAACCCCATTATAGTGAACTGTCTGTGGATCGATAAATAAATAATGCCTCATGATATTTGAATTCTTTGAAAAATTATTTTTTTAGCATATGACAATAGTATTGTTGGAAATAACAATTACAGTCGAAGATAATTTGTTTATAAATTATCACCTTATTTAATAGATAATAAATTAAATAAAAATGAAACTAATTAATTTTTTAACCTAACTAATTGATTTTTTGATTAACTACAATTTGATTTTAAGTAGAGTTCACCAATTTTCCTATCAACAATGAGTGAAGAATTTCCTAGTCAACAATTTCTGCAAAGAAAAAAACAATTCAGAATATTTAATGCCAATTTCACTTCTGGGATAAAAGATATCAAATTTTCTGCTTAACAGCTTGTTTGTGCTAGTTTAAAAGCAAAGGACATGAAAGAGTAAAATTTGACACAACACAATCACAATTCCTGCAAACTTAAGATGAAAAAAATTGAGAAAATGAAATTAGAGACAACTATAAGTGAATTACCATTAATCTTTCAGTTGCCCACTATAAATGTTTAAAAATAATGTCAGTCAAATGAGAGTTCATAAGAGATCACTAAAAATGTTCATCACAATCAAGTGTTCATTATATATCCCTGATTCAATATAGCGGGGTTCGACTGTACATATTTCCATAAAAATTATAGAGCTATCATATTACTACATTTCATTGAAATAATAAAAGATATATTTCATTATATGACTAGCTCGGTTAAAGGTTTTCAAACTCCTAATAATTGTACGTTTCTTACAATGGATGTCAGTATTTATTTTTGTGTGATGATATGATTAACAGTTACAAAAACAATGCACATTGCTGCCCAGAACAACACAAAATAAATCCAAGCCACATGCCGAAATGGAGATGCATGTCTGTTTGTCACGCCCACTCCTAATGATGCTAAGATAGATTTTCTGGAGTAAAGAACTAAAAGTGCAGGAATTATATACTGAATTGCAGCCCCCGCATAAGATCCAGTGATTCCTACAAGAATAGTCAGGTCTTCCGTGATGAAAGCAATGGCCATAGGCGGCACCACAGCCAGAAGGGGGAACAGAAGTTTCTGAACAAAAAATGAATAATTCCTGTTATCATTTAAAAAAATAGATTTTAGGTTGTTTCGCAGAGTTATTGCAATTATTGGGAAGTTTGTGCTCAATGTGAACACAGGAAAGAGAGCGAGGAAATATCGAAGAAAGTCTGCGCTTTCTGGCACTATGCTTTCCTCCGTGGAAGAGGTGTTACAGTTTTGGGGTTCAAAATTCAAGGTATACACATCTCTGATTTGGTCGAAAGCAAAAATGCCTGTAAATGAAAGAAGGCAATAGAAGACGAGAATGAGAGAGTAGTCAATCACGAAAAGCCGAAAAATGCGGCTTTTATCACGAATTGGAGTGATGAGTGAAGGGAGAGAATGGTGGCACATGAAAGAATACACGCAGACTCCAAATAAGTTAGGCACGCCACTGAGGCTGGCAATAGGTGGGTGTCCCTTACCTTTTCCCTTAATTATAGCTGTAGCTGCCAGGATTATCATGGTAGAAAATGCTGAAATAGAAACATAATTAGTCGTGTGTTTAGTGAATTAAAAACTTTAATGAAGTTAGATATTATAAGTAATATCTATTTATGAGAATGCAGTAATAATATGTCAGAAACAGCTATTTGTTATCTAAAATACACACTAAAACTGTCCATAAACATAATTATTTGAAGTGCCTCATGCATAAGACAGTCTGAAAGTTAGTATATATATATATATATATAGTTCGTTCACCAGGAGTTGGCACTTGGCTCCATCTCCTCAGACAAAGAGTTAATTTCAGAGCAGGGAGTAAGAAGAGAAACGTCTCCGTGCTTGAAATTGAGACAAGAAAAAAATTCACATAAAGATTGGAAGATAAATATTTTTGTCATAAGATCGTCAAATAGCAATCTTTTTCAGGATTGTTCACATCCTTCTCCCAAAAATAGCGAAATAGTATCGTCGAATACCATGTGATTAAAGCGGAGCCAACTCCTGGCGAAAGAACTATATATATATATTTGTATAATAAACCTAGTTTTTATTTCAAATAGTTATAGAACTACTTTTAAAGATTATAAAATATATTATTCTAAAAAGGTAAAAATATATAATAAAAGTGGTTTAGCTTGTGATAATTTAAAATATAAATAAAAAAAAGATTTAGTCATATTTGGCATGCATTTTCCCCAAAGACAAATTAATTTCAAGACAAAAAGATTGATAAAAAATAAAATATATTTACCTAACCATCGCATTAATGAAGTAAAGACTTGCAAATATTTGGTCTTTTGAACATTAAAAAATGTAAAAGGTCCAAGTAAAAGCAAAAATGAAAGCTGTGAAAAAAATTAAGGAATTATTCATTCAAATAATTCAAAAAGCGTAATAACAATAAAATCACAAAATTATTAAAAATATTCATAGTAAAGTCATAAAATTCATAAGATTCTTAGGGGTGATTCCATCATTTACAAATGTCTCATATCATATATGTAAACTTAAAGGACACAAAAAGTAGTTTTAATAATTTATGTAAAATTAACACTTGGTGCAATTTACATTTGCACCAATTTTTAATAACTTTCATCTATTTAAAAATTTCGTTAAAGATAAAAAACTGAGTTTTGTAGGATGTAACACAATGTGTTACTTTTTTATTTTTTAAAAACATTTTAAATTTCATAAAATTTATAAAAATTGGTGTCGGGAGTAAATGACACAAAGAATTATTTTAATAAAAATTATTAGAACTGTATGATTTTTTTTAAAACTGAAATTTATGCATTTATAGTAAGTTTTATATACTTGAATTTAAATCAAAGATGATTCACAAAAATATTATTTGAAGCTATTATTGGGGGGAGGGGGATTACAAAATATTAGAAGCAGAATAGGAATTGAGGGGGACATACATCTTATTAGCATTTTTTTAAACATTAAGGCAAATTTCTCCGTGAAAATAAGTTCATCAATCTACAGCAGATCAAAAATGACTTTAATCTTTTATTCACACCAGAGAGCCAAATTTTTTGATTGTGATGGTTTTTACTTCGATTAATAAAATAGTTTTAAGTTATGCTTATATCACAATAGAAAATCGGACATTTTAAATGTAACAACCTAATAGTAAAGTTGCGTTACTGAAATATTCAGGGAATATATTTTGCACAGAACTTAAAACTGGGGTGATTTTGTTATGTCTAGTGAGGGGAAATTATAATTAGGACAAATATAGAAGAAGAAGAAAATAATCAACCACCATAAATAAAAACATTTTATTATTGCAGAATATTTTGTTTGATTCTGTTCTAAACCTTCATACGAATGAAACCAAAGCCTGTTTTGAAAGACAAACTAAACTTAGTAATAATTTATTGTCTGTAACTGAACCTATGCTTTAAAATGATAGAAAAAAAGAAAATGAGTAACTGACTAATGGTCAATGGCAGTTTTAACAAATATTTTGTAATCACTAATTCAATATACAGTCTTTATAAATCCATAATAACCCTCAAATTTATGAGCTTAAATTAAGAGAGATAATTCTAAGCCCTTCTGATAAAATGGTTTCTGTTTAAAGACAGGATATTTAGTTTTATCTTAATGAAATTTATAAAACTAATTAAACTTTCTTTCTATTATATTCTTAAGGCTAAGCATGCTTAATAAGATATAGTATTTCGGCAAAAATTAAATTTATGAATCAAAAGGTACATCACTAATAAAAATGCATATTAAGGATGGTCATTATGGATTTATAAAGACTGTATATTGAATTAGTGATTACAAAATATTGAATAAAACGGCCATTAGTCAATTATTCATTTTCTTTTGTTCTATTATTTTAAAGCATAGGCTAAATTACAGACACTAAAATATTCTGAAGTGTAGTTTATCTTTTAAAACAGCCTTAGGTTTCATTTGTATGAATGTTTAGAAATTAATATATAATCCATACACTACCGGTCAAAAGTTTGCGAAAATTTTTAAATCTGCAAAGAAAAGGCCTAAATTCAAATGTTCATAGAACTGCGAAAAATCATTCAAATGGCATGAAAATTTGATATAGGGGAAAGAGAGAACTA